CTTAGGGAGGTGCCAGCCTCATCCTCTTGAACTTCCCACGCTCCTGTTGGGGGCTAAGAACTCGTTTATCTCCCTGAGCCTGGCCTTCATAAGTCCATTCCATCACAAGGGCTGAAAGGGACTTTGGAGCACTTGTGATCCAAACCCCAGAAAAGGCCTCCTTGGAGGACTCTCATCCTGGTGTCTCTCCCTTGAGATTGAAGGAAAGGGTGGGAAGCTAGGGAGCTGCATGTCCTGTGGGTGCAAGGCACCCACCCATACTTCTTGGCTCCCTCATCATTCATTAGTGCAACAGCAGCACACTCTCCCCTCGGGAATTCTCCTTCAGAAACAAATCTTTTCTTATCAGACTGAACGAGAACCGTAGGAAAAATGCAGGGGAACTCTTTAGCCAGGCTCTGTGGAACACGCTCTTCACAACACAACTATGGGTGAGGGACAGGACTGGACGTTAGGCCCTGTTAATTCAGTGCATGGACAGAAACTTACTTATTGTTTGAAACTTTCACTTTTCTGAATTTTGTAATGCAACATGCAAGTTTTAAAAAGTGCTATCAGGTAAGAGCGTTCAAAAATAAATATATTCATGAAAATAGTGTGCTACGGTAGGGAAACAGATTGCTTATTTGGTGAAAATGCGAACAACAATGCATATCCTTCCATAAGTGTGCAATATAATTTGTAGTTATTTGGGTACAATTAAAAAAAAGCCAAGTCTGAAATAATGAGAAACTAGGAAAAGCCAAGCTTAACACATTCACAAAAATAAGAAAGGGAGAGAATTGTCATATTCACTTAACCCTATTAGTAGGATTTTTTAAAAGCATTTATATGTGTAGACTTATCACAAGATGAGATACTGATCAGACCTTTGCAGAAAGGAAAAAAAAAATACCAAGAGATTGCTTGCCTTTTAAGATGTGGATATCAATGGTGGGCTGGATCTTAGGGAGCGCGTAAACGGAGTCGCTGGTCATCCGTGTGTATCGGGAAGTAGTAATGGAGACGGGCTGCTCGCCCTGCCTGCAACATCGTACACATGATGGAGCCCTCCAAGCCCTCCTCTTTGGGGGTGCCTTTTCGCCCGGAAGACTGCTGGCATGCAGAAAATACACCAAGAGCAGGAGAAAGGTGGCATGCATCTTTAACTGGCCAAAGAAGAAAGGGTAAGTGATTTAAAAGAGGAAAGTCAGCTGCCCTTTTAGAAACGTCTGCCACATTAAAAGCACCGCAGGACCGGTCGGGAGTCAGGGGTGTTGCTCTTTCTGCCAGCCGGATGGCTTATTGGAAGAAAGACAGACTTTTGGCTGCATATCAGCAGCAGTGCCCTCGGTGGCCAGGAAGGGGCATTGCAGCTATCCACTCAGGGGTCATGAATGGCCCTCGGGCTTTCCCCAGATTATTTAAAAAGAGCTAACTCTGACTCTGCTGATAGGAGGGCACTCCCGGCTGGACCTGATAACAAAGAATGGCCACTATCACGTCTCCGTTGCAAAAAAGAGGATTTTTACTTGCTATTCGGTCATTTCTGTATCAGAAGCCAGAAGCCATCCTGCTTCTCTCCTAACAAAGCTAAGAATTTGGGGGGAAAAAAGGGAAAAAAAAACCCAGACACACCAAACGTTTGAAGTTCAAAGCTCAGAACTTTACCATTTCTATCATTTAATTCTCACTGGCCTCTCTTTTGCCCACTCACCCTAGAATCTTTGCTTTTCTTTTTTTCTTTTGATGTTCAATTTCTTCCCCTTTTCATGAGGGTTGTCTATTCAGGGTTTAAAAAAAAATAAATGAAAATTTGGTTTCTTAATTTTCATCTCACTTCTCCTCTGTTCCAGCGAAAAGTCACCCCAGCGCTGACACCATTTCAAGACCAGCAGCCATTCTGAAGAAGGGAACTGAAGTCCTCTCCCGACGAGACGCCCCTCCTGCCCTGGAGTCCTCCTCTCTGTCTTATTAACCACACAGACTGTGCAGCGAAATGCCACACCCCACAATATTCTCTCTTATTTCCTCTAAGCAAGGGGCACAGTTATTCTAGGGAACACATCTGGCATCTGGGGAGCTGTCTTAACTGGCCACCACGATGGGGCTCGTCCACACATAAAGCATTTGCATTTATATAAAGCATTTATATAAAGCATTTATATAAAGTGACAAAGCGTCACGTTATAACCAAGTGGTGAGATTGCTCTGACCGCACCCCAGGTTATTTCTGTCCTTTTTTGTGTAGAGGTGGGCAGATTTATATCCATGGACCAAAAGTATACATTTAAAAAACCAAACCAAACCCTGAGCTTCTTTTCTGTGATGTGATGTCAAAACTCTTGGCACATCCTTCTGTTCTACCTCTTCCAAGTATTTTCCAATTATTTTTCTTCACTGAATTTTTAAGACGGTGCCTGATATTACATTATCACTTCGAATTCCAGGCATTGTTTCTGCTCAGTTTGGTTTTGGCTCCCGTCTTCCTCTCTCCAGTCCAAGGATGTTGCTGAGCATTCTTGTGCAACTCCAGCAAATGTTATTTAATTTGGATAATATATATTTAAACCTCCTTTCCTTCTGCGTACTGCTATTATAACTAAGCCCAGATTGTTTAGAGGTGAGGGGAGAAGGATTTTTACCTTCTCTGATCCCATACATTCTGATTCAAACAGGCTCTGCTTTTTTAAATAGACGATATGAAATCATATTATAGTATTATTTATACTGTATTGGTGAACAGAACTGAGACGCTTGATTCTTTTTGCCATTTTCTAAAAAGGAATCCAGAAAAACAGAAAAGGCATTTTTGTAAAGGTAAACCTTATTTCAGAGTTTTCTTTGTTCTGCGGCTCTTTATGAATTTTTTATGCAGTCACTTTCTATCCTCAATTCTGGAAAAAAGTGTGTGTGTGGCGGGGGGTAGAATTAGTACTTAGAAAAATTCTTCCATATTTTTCTCCTAACAGTTTTCATTCAGTTGACTGGAATAGAAAGGGGCATTTATCTTAATTTCCAATGATGGAAATTTTCTAAATTGTCCTGGGCAGGATGTCATGCTCTTACTTAGTGACAAGGTCTCTGAAAGGGGTGTACATGTGAATGTTCGTCTTTTATTGCAAGAGATTGAGGTATCCACAGGGTCAGAAAAGGCAGGGTGGCCATGATGGTGTGATTGAAACTCCACCAGTTTTCTTATGTGAGTTGCACATGGAGGACACATTTTAAAGGGACAGACCTTCAATCACACCGTTGTGACTGCCACCTTGACATTTTTTTAACTATATTTGCAGACACCCCTGCAAGGGATGCTAGGAGGACATTCCTCCCTGGGGGTGAAGCAGCGGTTCTCCTGTCACCATTAAGGGAGATCCTGCCCTGGAGAAAAGGTGGGGAGAAGAATGTCTCCTTCTTCTGGAAAAATTTGGAGAGATTTTCCATGCGGTTGTTCTGCTTGCAAATCTAGCAGAGAACACCATCTGTGCTCAGTGCAAAAGTCCCACCTTTCTGCTCACTTTTCAAAGCAGTTAATTAAAAAAAAAAAGATTAAACGTAAACATTTCATACGTTCAAATGGGAAGGCCTGGATTTTGGAGTCACAGGCAAGGCTTTGGGGAGGACAAGCTCTGTAAGGCACATCTAGGTTTGATTGTGCACATGGTACTGTATTGACAGAATCAAGGACCACAAAACTGGCTGGCAAAGAGAATTACAAAAAAGAAAAAGATAATTCCTTAAAAATAGATCCCCCCCCCCGCAAGGATTTCTTCCCTTAAAAAGAAAAAAAAGGACAAACCCAGATTGAAATTGATATGAGCAAAGCTGCTCAGGTAACTGATAAGCAAAGAAAAGCTACTAATGTGACATATAAAAGGAAGGAAGGAAGGAAGGAAGGAAGGAAGGAAGGAAGGAAGGAAGGAAGGAAGGAAGGAAGGAAGATCCAGGCTCAAAATTATGGAGCTTCTTTCATTGAAATGCAGAGGTATTAGAAAAAGAAAACTATGAAACCAAGCAGTTCCATTTTTTCATCTTATCATGATGGCTCCTGGATTTCTTGCAGGCACTGCATTTAAATATGATGTTTCCTTTGGTAGAATGGAAGATGCCCAAGGGAGGTTAGTAGATTCATCAGATCATCTTTCTATTTCCAGATTGGCATTTGATCTTTCAGAAATGTTCCACTGATCTGGTTAAATAATTGTGCCAAATCATATTTGTGAATTCAAGAGAGTAGTCAGGATATATACTAGAAAGGTTTAAACCAGAGTGGTAATTGAATGGGGCAGAGATAATAGATTTCTCTCATAACGCATCATACAGTGAAATGAAATATCAACAGCTACCGAAGAAGCAATTAAAAAAAAAATAGATACTGCCCAATTATCCCCTAAATGGGTGGCTGAAGACTTTTTTCTTTTTCAATGACCAATCCTCTTGCTCCCCACTTTGTGCTCTACAGAGGTAAGAAGCTGCTAATGCCATCAACCTCAGCCAGGGATGATGGAAGATGGTTCCAACAAACTAGGACGGAGGGAGCTGGGAAACTTGCTTTTGACCCACAGTGATGTCTCATCTCCATTCAGATGCAACCCACTGTTGAGGGTTGAGTATCAGATGCTTGCAACAAACAGGAGAGAAGAAGTGATTCTACCAGTTGAACTAATCCAGGTAGTCCTTGTTTAGTGACTACCTTGTTCAGGGTCAGTTTGCAGTTACAACAGTGATGAAAAAGTAACTTTGTGATCAATCCTCGCATTTACGACCTTTGCAAGTGTGAAGTAAAATCATAAAATCGTGATGTTTCACTTAGCGATTGCTTCCCTTGATGACTGAGTTGCCATCATTGTGGTCACTAAACAAGGACTACCTGACCAGCAATCAATACAGTGCCCAGCATATCAGTGGGACTGGACCACGTTCTTTAATTTGTGACTTTTAGTGTCATTTGGGAGAACCATTGTTAAATCATTTTTCACCATTTAACCATTTGTTTAACCCATGTTAAAGAATTTTCCTGATTGCATTGAGGAATGTTAAGATATAGCTGTTAGAAACTTGGCCATGTAGCAACAGTGATGCACCATAAGAAGGTCTCCGTCAAAGGACAGAATGACTTCCTGTAGCCACAAGCAATTTTGCTTGTACAGGGAGACGGTTGGATGTTTGAAAATGGTTTAGATTTTGTTTGTTATATTGGACTTTTGGTCAATTATTGCAATGAAAGAGATCAAAGTTACACTAGGTAGCAGCGGTGCTGGGGAGGTGAAAGAATTCAAGATGATCATCACAGCAACACAATAAATGCCCCACTCCTTTAGAAGTTTGTGCTTGTCGATGCATTTACAAAAGGGGTGGGGCCAGCTTGACTACGTTGACCCCTCCTGCAGACCCCAGTGTCAGACAAGTGTATATTTCCAATCCAGTTCACAGGTTGGGTCAGTTTTGAAGGACCCAGCTTAGGGGCACGTGACCTTTCTAGAACTCAAGAGTACATTTGCCCTTGGGATGCACACAGAGGGCTGCATTGAGAGACAACACAAATAGCATTAATTTAATCTAAGGTAACTGGAATTGGATTTAAATTCATTCAGTACAGTAAATGGGATTGTTCTCCATCCCATCAAATTAAAAATTACAGTTTGGTAGTAACTTTTCTAGGGGTGTCTGCAGGGTGTGGTCCAAAGAGTCAAGGTGGCCGTCACAGCAGAGAGATCAAATCTCTGCCCAGCAGACATAAAAAATGGGCAGAGCTTTTTTGACCGTATCCTGCAGAAACCCCTGGTGCCTCTGAGGGTTTGAGGGGTGGAGGAGCAGCGACGTGCGTCCTACCTCAAAAATGTTGGAACCGGATGTCCTCCCACCTCCTCCCTCTCCAAGCCCAACTCTTCAAGCCTCTGCTTTATGAAGAGCAGGCCAGCAGCTAGTTTTCAGGGGAGCCAATTGTCCATCACCTAGAGAGGCTCCCTGCTGGCCCAGAGAGCGATGAACCAAGGCTGCTCCTCCTCCTCATTTGATGATCAGAGAGCCACCCAAGCATGGGTGCATTTTGTACAGATCCAAATGAGGACGGTTCTTCTTTTTTTTGAAGGGAGCAACTGGGAAAAAAACACGTACATTGCACATTCATCCACATTCAGTGGTCAAAGTGTCTGTTTTATTTTGCCTAAAGACTGGGCCAGCCCTGACCTCATAATCATGAAATTCCCTCCTGGTGGGCTTCATTCATTTCAGTTCTTTTAAGGCAGGTCTTTAAAATGGACAATTTCTCTCTCACACACACACACACACACACACTATCAGCTAGTGCAATGCTATTTTATCTGTTTTATGTGCTTCGTTTTAGAAGGGATTGGTCCTAAAGAGGGAGGTACTCAACATCTCAGCTAAATAAATGAGTTAGTGCCATGCAGAGAAAGATTTGCATTTTTTCGAAACCAATCCTCATTCAATTTTTTTTTCCCCAAAGGAAAAGAGAATTTCAGTGAAATAATCCCAGAGACAGTATGATGTACTGGCTCTAAGTGAATTGCTCACTGGCCAAGAGATGTCTGCAGATGTCCTGCTCTTAACTGTAGAAACATTTCTCCAGTGATATGGAGTCCCTGGCTTCCCACACTTTCACAGTAAGATTTTTGGTTGTTTGTTTGTTTGAACTCAAACTCTGAAGTCTCTCTGCTACCCAGAATGATAGAAACATGCGTTATGGGAAAGGCTAACAGCAGTAGGTCTCTTCACCACCTCTAAAATCCAAAAAAAATCAACCAAGAGAAATTTGAAAGAAATTCTCAACCAGACTGAGAATAAGGTAGAAAAACAGAAGCCGTTTTGCAGAGGAAGAAAAAGTCTGAGCAACTGCAAGGCAGATTTTAAAACGACATTAAAAACGGACAAATGCATCAGCATTTTACCTGGCTTGGATGGACGATCAGGAGGCTCACTCTGTGGATGGGTGGAAGAATGACGTTGACCCCCACGAGGGGAATACCTTGCGTTGATCTTTCTTTGGCAGCTATTCTCATGTGCCACAACAGACAGCCGGGAGAAAAATGATCTCTCCAGGACGCCCTGAGATTTAATGAGTGCTCTTCCGTCTAGGAAAAGACAGGGATTTCTGCAAAGAAATCCAGATGCCAGAGGAGAGGGGAAGAGGAGGAGGAACAGCTGCAAAACAGCCACGTCACTGAGAGCATTTTCTTTTACTTTCTCTCTTTCTGGACCAGCCTGTTGTTGCTAAGTCCTTCTCCTCCATCTTCAGGAGATTTTCACCGCAGCCAAAACAGAAGGTGGTTCAAGGTTGTTGATTCTGACCGCCAAGATGGAAAAGAAACCAGCCACAGATTTCCATGGGAACAAATTGGTGGGTCAGGGCGCCCATCAAAATCCCTCAGTCCCTCTCATTTTCTCGCCATGGAGGGACCAGAATACCCACACAGCCACAAACACACATTTATTTGGAAGACGTGCATCCAGAAAAGTGTACACGCTTCCAAAAATCGGATGGAAAGAACTGTTTGCATTTGATGCTTTTATATTTATTTACCAGGGATTTTTTTAAGGGAACATTGGAGAAATTTATGCTCATTTTTAAAGAAACGAGGAAATGAGTGTTTTAAGGAAATATTGAGGAGAAACTATTTATGTGTTTAAAAAAATGTTCTGTAACTTAGGGAACACCTGAAAACATCAAACCTGCATTTTTTTTCCCCAGTGGATTGAAAGAATAAATGATTTAACAACATTACAATCGCTGAGAACCTGAGACACCAGCACAATCCTGATTTATGCAAGTTGCACATTCTGTTATTTATTGCTCAATATGTTATCACTGGTGCCCTGTAAAATTATGACTACCTAGGGAAGCCAGAAACAGAGAAGGGAGGAATGTAAGTATCAGCCCTGTAAAAAGGATCAGCTTGTTCATTCTTCACTGCCAGTCTGAAGCTAAGGCAGATGTTTCAGCTTGCTTGGTTTTTGACTCCTCGGTCGCAGTTGTGGGAAGGGAGGTTTGGAGGGGAGAAGCCCAGATCGAAACCAGGGAGGCGAGGAAGGGGAGATGAATCCTCTGCCACTCCGGTTAGCTCAGCCCAGGAGCCCTGACCCCCCTCCCCAGATGTCCCTTCTGAACAGAGCTGCTAATGGACCAGACAAGGAGATTGCGTTTGTGATGGGTCCTTCAGAATACTTCGATCTTAGCCTTTTCATAGCGTGGAGAGAGAAACATGGTATCTCTTGCTAAAGATTGAGCTTTTCACACCGTGGCTTCAGAGAAAAGGAGGAATTATGACAAGGACGAGGAAAAAGGCTTTTCCTTCGCTTCTGGAGAAAAGCTTCAGCCGCTGAATTTCTGCCTCTCGCAGGAGGAGGAACGTGCCTGCCAAAAGACAGGCTGGCAAACCAAGAAGTTGACTCGGGCTACCAGGGAGGGTTGAATCATAGTCTGGATGGGATCACAGCTCTTTCTGTTGCAGCTGCATTCTTGGCAGGAGGAAATGCTGGCTTTACTGCCTAATGCAGGACAAATATTCCTCTACAACTGGATCTTTCTCTGTAAGTGGGTCAGATGCAAAGGAGGACGTTTCTTTGTAAGTCTTGGACTTGCATCTGGGAACGAATGGCTCCCCAGACGCCCCAGCCAGCAGGGCCCGTGGTGGAGGAAGCTGGGGCTGAGCAGAAAGAATAAAACGTTCCCAGCGGCCGGATCAGCTCTCTTCCTTTGGGCTCTTTCCTCGGAAATCCAAAAGCCAGGGGCACATCTAGGGCAACCCACTGTTTCTTGTGTGCAGCCTTCCACCCCCTTTTTTTGCAGGGCCTCCAAGCCCTCCAAGATGACTCCACCAAAATTGGGTTCACGTAATACCCAAAAGCGCAACTTTGCACAAGGAAACTTTACGTCCCCGTCACCTTTCGTCAGCAGTATAGAAGTGGCTGGGTAGGGCCTTATTCCCGGATTTCTTCGTCTGTTTTCTCCTTCCTGGCCCAGCCTACCACCTTGGGACTTCAGCTGGTTTCCCATCCAATGATTAAACAGACCCAGCCCTGCTTGGTTTTTTCCAAGATCAAAATTCCATAAAGTAAATTTGAGGAAAAAAATAATAAAAGCATGCATTAAGTGTCTGTTAGGCGCAGTTCATCCCCTTGGCATTTAAAAAGCCCCAGGGCTACAACTCCTGCCCTCAGCACACCATTGCTGCAGGGCTCTTCCAAGAGGAGGAGGAGGAGGAGAAGGAGGAGAAGTTGTTTTAAAAGATGCACAGTTCAAATGGAAGAAAATATATTACAGGGGGTGCGAAACTAGCTAGAATGACTTGGACCCTGCCCTGTGGAGAAGGAGCATCACTCAAATCCATGTCTCATATTTGCAAATCTATCAACTTCAGTCCTTCAATTTGACATGCTGCGTTTCGTTTTAAAGCATCATACTCACATTCCTTTGTTGCTTGGTGTAACTTTCTCCAACCATATGCAACTTTACCTAAAATGCCATTTTTGCAAACCATTTCCCCTGATATGGCATAATATGCTGTTTTTTCTACAGAGCCAGGCTTTTTCCTAATACACTTCATGGCTGACATTACTGCTGCTGCTGTTTTTGTAACTATTACAGGTAGTCCTCACTTAAAGGGACTTACAACTGGTCCTCGCACTTACAACCATCGCAACACCTCTGCGGTCATGTGATTGTGATCCGGGCATTTGGCAACCACCTCACACTTACGATGGTTGCAGTGTCCCAGGGTCACCTGATCGACTATTTTGGCAGTCAAAGCCTTGCCTCTTTTTTACATGTGCCTGACGCAAGGGGTGGGCCTTTAGTTGTGCACTCACAGCTGCCATCTTGACTTTTTTGACACACACACACACCCATGGACCCCTGACTCCACCCTTAGAAGGTGGCTGATCCAGCTCAAGAAGAGAAAAGGCCCATGTTAAACTTCCTCCTGGAGATGTAGTTCTATAACCACTGATCTTTCAAAGCAAAAGCAGCTGAACCGGCTACCTAATTTGTATCTAAATTTGAAATAATCAATCAATCGATCAATCTGTGTGAATGTCTTGGAGTCAGCTTCCGTTTCAATGCATATCTATCCAGGGTCCCGGCAGCTTTCTTCGCAGTTTAGAAGCCCCTTTTCCCTCTGCTTCCTCCCTGCCCTTTCGTGAGCTTGATGATCTGAGAACTTTCTGGTCCATTCGGGGATCTGAGCCCCGCCATTGACGTCTTTCTGAGACATCTTTCAGGCGACGTAGGAGCGTCTTTCTGGCCTCCAAAGGAAACATTGGGTGTCACGCAATTCGGCGGCCAGCCGCACACAGAGATTTTCCCGGTGTTTGCTTGTTCGTATCCAAAAGTCATTCCCTGCCATTTTTGGCTCAGAAGAAGTGGTAGAAGAAACCTGTCTCAATTTACCAGACGGTGTGAAGACAGAGATGATGGAAAGAACCTGGAATTCATCCTCCTTCTGGAAAAATAGACTTTTCTGAAGCCAAACATTATCCTGTGCTGGTACGGCATGTGATTGTGAGCAAAGTTTCCCAAAGAATTTTAAAAAATCTACAGCTGTCTAAGCTTTTACCTGGAAATGGTCTTGCCAGCCAGCCAACCATCAAAATTCAGATTCTTGACTGAACATCGAATCAAGGAGGGATTCAGAGAAGAGAGATCAGGGGTAGCTGATCTCCTTTTAAGATCTCTCCTGGGTAGATTCCTTTCTCATGAAATCTGAAAAGCAGGACGGGGTTGTGTTTATTTGTAGATGGTGCCGAGCACCACCAGTTTACAAGGTTTATTCAAGGTACTAGGAGGATTTTGGCCACAATGTTCATTTGAATACTTCCCCCAACACACAGGCAGAGAAATGGGGACAGTGTGGGAAAACCTGGAATAGAGAAATCATTCTCACTATTTTATTTGTTGTTGCCATGAATGAAAACACTTTTACTACTAAATTAGACTTTGGATGGGTCCCTCCATCAATTAAGGAGGTTCCTTAATGCCCTTTAAAAAGACCCTGCCAGGTTGTGTTCATCTGCCTTGGAGAATATCTGCCACAGGAATAGAGGAACCAAGGAGAAGGTCCTCCATGCAGCATGGAGATCAGTAGAATCTAAACCAATAATGGCTAAGATGTTCAAAGCAGTAGGATATCAATGTTTGCTGTCCTATTTGGTCCTTGGAATAGCCAATCTTAGTGGCTCAGGAAAGCCCTACTGCAACAGAGAAGTGGTTTCATCTCTAAAACTGATTTGTTTGAACCTGTCCATCACTTAGAGACTCATTTTACTGCTCACGATATGGAGTTGTTCATACATAGGGTGTTGTAGATATGCCCATCGCTTTTGATGTGGTTGCATTTCCCCTGAACGAGCAGGTGTGCAATCTGGGACTTCACCTGGACTTGTGGCTCCAGCTAGAGCAGTGGGTGGAGTACATGATCAGGAGACCCTTTGGCCAGTTTGGATGGTCCACCAGTTGCATCCTTTCCTGGACTACGAAGTGCCAAAGACAGTGACTCAGGAAGTCATCTCCCAGACAGACTGCTGCAATTCACTCTACCTGGGGCAGCCCTTGAAGACAACCTGGAAGCTATAGCTGGCACAGAATGCAGCTTGTCTTCTGCTGACTGGTGCTAGCCAGTTTAACAGAGGGAGCTGCCAGCAAGTTTACAAGCCCAATTCAAGGGGTTGGTCCTTACTTGTACAGCCTTTTATGATTCAGCTTCTCCCTGTCACCAAGAAAATCTTCTCCAGGTAGAATCTCCCCACTCAGTGTGCCAGCCAGGGAGTGTCCTGCAGGTACCCACCCCAACAGAGATCAGGGGGAGGGGTCCAAAGGATAGCCTTCTCAGCAGTAACCTCTTCCCTCTGGATCACTTTGAGGTTAGGACTGCCCTGAGTGCCGAAGAATTGATCCCTTTGAACTGTGGTGCTGGAGAAGACCTTAAGAGTCCC